GGACTCCTCCTCAATTTTGCGTTAGCTGCCGACGGAATTTTTTCATTTTTTTTTCTTTTCTCTTTTTCTCTTTCACTTTTCTGTTAATTAATCATTCACGTCGATAATACTCAGTTCTTTCGTAATATACTGCTTTATATTACTGACACCAAAAATATGTGGTAGATGCGACGATAAATCTTATCTCGACAAAGAGGAGCGTGAATGTAACGTGTGTATGCGTATATGTGTGTGCACAAATTTCGTTACTGTAACTAAATATGAGACTTCGTTCGGCATACGCGCGAAGTATCTTGAGTTTAATTCATACTTGTACGAACTTTGTGTCGGTATACGAGAATCACTGCACCGAGGAAAGACGGAGCTACGAAAGAACATACGTACGCATCGCATTTTCGACCTATTTTACGTATCGCAATAACTCAATTATTTCATCTTCTTCCTTTTCTTTCCTTTTTCTAACATTTTGTTGCGTTCGTTCGTTTATTCCGTGAACCAGTCCTGCGCTTTAAAATATATCCTCGTGACTTCCAAGTTTTGCGTTCCTGCTTAAGCGATCGTGAAAAAAGAAAATTGAACTTTTTAATCGTACGACTTTAAATATAATACAAAACCCTGCAAATAATCAGTCGAACGAATTCCTGCCGTTTTCTTTTTATGAATACATGGAGAATCATATATGAAGCGTTGAGGATTCATATGTGCCGAATAAATCATCAGCATAAACCATGGCAAAAAACAATACGTGAAATCTGGTAAAAGAAAATGTCAGTTTCTTTTGCGTTCTTCATCAATCACATAAAACCATCGATTGATCTTCGTAAACAGATAGAAATATATTTTTCATACGATGCGTTAAAACCTCTATTTACATTTTGAATATACTCTAAACTATAACACTAATATACTTCGAGAGTATATATAACTGACCATGGTTTATACCAAAATACATGAAATATAAAAATACAAGAATCGCAGTACTTTCGTTTGTAATGTTTGGGGGCAAAAAATAGCGTTTGAGAATAGACTCTGAAAGGTGGTAACGATAATCGACTCATTTTCTCTATCGGTACGTACAATGTCGCATTGCTCAAACGCGTTTTTTGAAAACCCAAAATACTTCGGTGATAATTTAATTGTACGAAGAAGTGAATTTAGACATTTTTTTCCCGATGTTTCGATGGTGGTATATGAACATTTACAATAAAATATCGCGGTATGAGAACAATTTACATTGTTTGAAATTCATGTTATTCGGTTCTTAAATAATTAGATGTGCATTCACAATACCTTTTTTTTTCATTTTTTTTTTCCTTTTTTTAAAGTACCACTTCAAACCTTTGGATTCCCTTGATCAACGTAACGAGCCCGATGACAAATGGCAATGACGTAACTAGAAATTATTTATGAAATAATATACGTTATTAATTACTTTTGAATATCAATTATAGTTTATCAGGAACGTTCACCAAAATCTAAACAAAGTAAACAGAATATATGTACTCGTTCCATTTCCTATCAATATGCAGTTCCAGCAGC